AGAAGAGAGAGAGAGAGAGAGAGAGAGAGAGAGAGAGAGAGAGAGAGAGAGAGAGAGAGAGAGAGAGAAGGGGGAGACAGAGTTCGATGTTAGGAATAAGGAAGCAACGCTGCATGCTTCAGTAGTGGGAGGGTTAACACTGTCGTGAATCACCACCTCGGTTCGCTCCTGTAACTGATTAAGATTACATTCCCAAAGGACTAAAGAAAAAGAAACTTCCAGCTTCCCTTCCTCTCGTGAGATCATGCAAATAATTACGAAGGCGCTTTGCGCTGAGCGAGACAGATTATTGTGCCACGAGAAAGTGACCTTTATAGCTGCCAAAGATACTGTAAGGCTTTCTTCAAGATATTTTCTGGGGGGTGGGGGGTTATCGACTCAAGGATAGCCTGAACAGATCTGTGTAATGGTGTTTGTGTTTATTATGTAAGTCAAATAGGCCTACTTGACTTCTCAATGACTTTACATGACTTTGAAATAACTTACCTTTGTTGCGGTCAAAGATGGTGTGAGGCTTTCTTTGAGATATTTTCTAGGTTTCTTTTTTTATGACCAAAAGATAGCCTATGTGGATCTGTGTAATGTCATCCTTCATGGCGTCTGTGGTCTATATTATTATGTAAGTCAAATGCTTAACTTTTTAGTGAATTTACAGAGCTTTGATCTTGCTGGTTTTGTTCATATTGAAAAAAGAGTTATGCTCTTCCACTTGGCTGGTGTAGAGCTAAAAGACCTCCTAAATCCACATCCTCAACTGCCGCTAGAGAAGACATAATTCTGTTTCGTTCCTTAGACGGAGATTCGGGTAGACCCAGCTTTGCTCCTGTATATATTCTATATAAACAAGACATGCCACTCCTATGAAATAATATCTCGTGCGCACAATAGAAACTTTCGCTGTTGGATATGGTTTGGTCAGACCGAAGGGCTAGAACCAAAATGGCCGCTGGATGTATTTTGATACATTTGGGATCAGCCAGATTATACGTCTCGTTCGAGCAAAAGCTGCTGTTTTGGCACAACTTGATCAATATTTCAACTTCAGTTGTTTGGGGGTTTTTTTCGTGAACGGGTCTATTTAATGAAAACGGTCAATCGGAAGAGTTCTATGCATAGCGAGGTCGAATCTAATGGACTGCCATGTCACATTTGATGAAGCAAAGTTTGATATAGTGTGCACAAGCCAGTGTTATTATACTACAGTGCTCTTAGATTCGATCTAACCTTGTATTAGATCAACAGGCATCCACCTTAACATGCCATAGGCAACAATTACAGATGTCGCTACAGGCACTAAAGAAGACTTCTCGTAACTCGAATAGAGGATTGAACCATCTTGTAAGGTAAATCGGTGATACAGTAAAGTTAATGCTTGACAATTTAGCTTTCTTTCTCTTTCGGGATGACAAGTACCCAAATCTCTAATGATGTTAAATTAAATAGCATGCCATAGTTAGTATAAAACCATGTTGAGCCCCTTGAAATCGGAGTATGGCTACCTCAACGCAAGGGGGGGCGGGGGGGGCTACTAAGTAGGAGAAAATTTGTCACGTACGTAAATATCAGTTGTACTGCAAGTTGATGAACCAGCAGTCGACCACAGTTGCAATCTAGCAGTGGAACGCAAAGAAGAAGATGCCATATAAAGCTTGTCTGTTGTCATGCGTGTACCACACATTTAGTCGAAGTTTCGAAAAAGTTAAAGTAATGGCGTACGCTGAAGAACGCCATGTTATACAGGAGACGTATCAAACTTTAAAAGTAATTACATGCTAGTAACTTCAGGGGAAATGTAAGGTCCAAGGAAACGGTCAAAAGAGAGACCAATGGCCAAGTTTATCGCTTTATCGAGTCCTTTCAAAAAACCCTTTAACTGTTTGGTTTGCCTATCACTTTCGTTAAAGTTGCGGGGTTTTGAGTGTATGTTTTGTACATCGAAAGTTCAGAAAAACTTAAACCTGCAACGTCGTTTCCTAGGTGTTCGTTTGCATGTCCAAATTAACATTTCTGTTTACTTTCGGTTTCTATACTTCCTTAGAAATGTATCGAAGTATATTTTTTTAACTAGCTTCGTTATTTTACTCTAAACCCCCCCCCCCCCCAGTCCTTTTCCACGAATCCTTTTCCCCCGACATTGCCTGTCACATTATGTTCTCCCTGGATCAAGGAAAAGTACATGTATGTTTAATTGATCGCGGGTTTTTACAGGATTCTGTAAAAGAGTTTTTCTTTCCATCAAAAAAGGCTAGACACAAGAGAGTATGTCAAGGTCAATTGAAAATTTAAAAAACTAGCTGAAGCTGAGAAAAAAAACAAAATGTCTTCTCTAGATTTCCTTTCGCCTCGGGTTACACGAACAACTTTGAGCTGTCCCCGATGTTAGTATCCTTGTTATGGCTGTATCCGTCGGATTACGACTACACCGTACTGGTATTGCTTAAGGGGGGAAACGAAAAATGTCTTCTGTAAGTTTCCTCTTGATTTTATATGGATGTTGTAAAAGAAACCCGCAGAAATTGATCCCTTTCATTTGCATAAGATGGTGAAGTTCAAGGTAGTTCTATATATACCATTCTGGTCTTTCAGAAGAAGAGGTAGTTGTATAGTATTTTTAACTGCAAAATATGTGAAGTTTAATTTATTATCTACACAACATCTGTTGAATTATGTTGGCCTTGTCGATTTTCTTTCAACTCGTCGTTACAATCGTGCAGCTAAGTATACCTAACGAACTTTCCTTGCTGCCACATTTTTACCCCCGTCAGCAAAGTCTCGAATCGAACAGTCTGGTTTCTAAAGGATTTCGATATTGCGTGACCTCCAAAGGCTTCTTATACTCTTTTCTTCCACAGTAAGATCGGGGTCACAAGGGACGTATTTAAAACCTGAAATTATACTAAATTAGATTTCTTTTTTCAATATGATTGCTCTAGGTCGACAAATGCTATGCTGTCTTGCTACTCTAGCGAGGATTGGGTTGATTTTGTTTTTTTCGCCTAAAGTACGACAGGTTTATACGACAACGGTGTTCATTTATTCCCTATGGTCTTGTGGTTCTAATGTGTTGAGTGTTTTTCTTTAACTCTTGTGCATTGTGGGATCTGGGCCTGGGGACTATTTTTCCGACCTTTTTAGAGTTTAACATGTTTGAGAAAGTTTCTTTGAATCCTGTCTTTTATTTCTTTATTCGGATTAGGAAAAACACAAAGCAGGCTGGGAGAGAGGATGGAAATAACAGGTAGACAGATACAGAGTAAGACAGACAGACAGACAGACAGACAGACAGACAGACAGACAGACAGACAGACAGACCGAAGATGAGAAAAAGAGGGGAGGGAGGATAAAGGGAGAGCGAGAGGCAGAGAGAGAGGGAAGAGGGAAAGGAGGCAAGAAACAGCAGGTTGAATGAAGGACTGCTGAGGTTTTTCAGTGTTAACTTTATATTATCATTTCTGTTGCTGTTGCCGTTGCTGACAGTTAAGTTCAGTGGCGGTGAATAGTGGAGGGATCATGGGCTTGAGCCCCCCACCCCCCACCCCAACTCTATACCAATATAAATGAAAGTTTCTTAAGTAACGAAATAAGCAGTTGAAACCGTTACAGTCGCACCCAATGAACACTAAGTGATCAGCGTGGTGGCTTGTCTGTTTATCCCATCACTGTTGTCACCGCTTACAACTATAGCAACCTAACAGCTAATCAGATGCCTTTAGGGCTCAGCACAGGAAGAGCGCATTCCCAAGGCCCTCCCGTAATGAAACTCTTCTTGTAAAAAGGTAGAAGACTGGGAAAAATAACACTGTACTGAGGGCTCACGCTCTCCTAGCCCTGACATTGGAATGAAAGTTTACGACACACGTTCCCCCAATGACACAGACACCTTCGCGCTCATTGGACCTTTGTAATGTTAGGTGTGTTCTACATTCCGCGGCTACACGGCCAACTAATCCAGCTCACTCATAAACCGAATATGTTTGAAGTGCTGTGTGTACATGTTTGTGTTTGTGCCGCTGAGATTTAGCAGTTATATATCACGTCGAACCACTTTTAAGGCAGCCTTTTGATCCAGAAGAATCTAACTCAGAACAAAGAGACAGAAGACAAAGGTGACTTTTCTCGTTTGAATGGTTCTCAAAATAATGTGGCTCACAGTGAGTATAGAAAAGTCAACACTCTTTTGGGCTTATTGCTTGCTATTTTGTGGCAAAGAAGTGGAAGTAGCCTTAGCCCCCACCCAAATTTTAGTCCACCCGTCCACCGCCGCTGGTTAAGTTGATTACAGGCTCGTTTGATTGTCTGTTTAACTGCTTGAAATCGTCACTGCACACTTCTTGCAACGTTATTTTGTTTATTTCTACTTTCCAGAATGATGACTGCTGCTGTGTGGTAAAGCTCTTTGCATTCACTGCCTTTTTACGTCTTCTCCATCGTTATTGTTGGAAATTTTTGGGTATTTTATTATTTGCTGCTGTTTTTGTTAACCACGTAGTTGCTGCCGATCATTCAAGCTGCAACAAGTATAAATGCTTTTTTTTTAATGAGCTGCTCCTTCTTATTCTACAACTGGTTAGATGGTCTCTATCTCGAATGTGTGGCCTTTGTAGTCTAGTTGTTAGGCTACTGGACCCGTAATCGTGAGATTCCAGATTTGGGGGTTCGAGCCTCTGCTCGGTCCGACAGAGTGTCATTGGGAAAGGCACTTTACACGAATTTTCCATTTTGGCTCTGTCCTTTCGGAGATGGACCTTAAACTCGGAGGTCCTGCTTCTGAAATAACCTAATAATAGTGTTGATAGAGGCATTGAACCTATACCATTTCTCCATTTTTTATCTTGGAGATGAGATTTTTCTTTAAAACGTACAAAGGCGTGTCACCGCTTTGTTTATCTCCACAGATCACTGACGCTCTGTCGTACCTCCACAATTCAGAGCGGCTCATCCACTGCAACATCTGCCCGCAGTCCATCCTACTCACCCGCAAGGGAGGCTGGAAGCTCATGGGGTTCGGCTTTGCGGAGAAGATAAAGGATGGAAAGGTATGGAGGTGGAAGGAGGGGGGGGTGACTTGTTTTGTGAGAAAAAATGGGCAGTCCGTAAACTGGTGGAGGGTTAAAGTTGTCATTATTAATGTTGGTGGTAGTGGTAGTGGCGGTGGTGTTGCTGTTGTTGTTATTGTTGTTGTTGTTGTTGCTGTTGTTGTTGTTGTTGTTGTTGTTGTTGTTGTTGTTGTTGTTGTTGTTGTTGTTGCTGTCGACATTGTTAATGAAACTAAAAATGGAAAAAAGAATAAGCTTCCCGGGAAAAAAGAAGGAAACAATAGATGCGTGGCTTGGATACCAATGAGAATGCAATATACATGTAATAATATATCGTCTTTTAGTTTTAGCAAGAGCTTTACGTCACTTGCAACACAACTGAGTCATATAACTGTCGAAGATTAAAGGTGTTACAAGAGAATAGCAAACACCCAAGTGAAGGAGGAGAGATAAGGAAGACAGAATATTTGATCAGAAAGAAGGAGCACCACAGCACCTGCCAACCACCCACTTAAATATATCGTCCGCCAGGTGCTAATACAATAAAATGTATTAAGCACAAGCTCTTCAATTTATTTTGAATTATTTCGGTAGATTTTTCTTAATCTATGGTGCCGGTGGCATGTGCGCTAAAAATATTTTGCTCAAATTCAAATTTTATATGTTGAGAGAAGCAAGAAAAAGTAGATACATTTGTTAAAAGAAAAAGACAGAGTTTGTTGGTTGTTATTGTTGTTGTTGTTGTTGTTGTTGTTGTTGTTGTTATTGTTGTTGTTGTTGTTGTTGTTTGTTTGTTTTTTTCACTTCGGAAAAAATTTGCTTTCTTGGCTTTGTAAATTTTAACAGCTTGCTTACGACATGTGGGTCGCTGTAATTAATGTAAAAAATGGAGGGAGGGGGGTCGAAATGTACTCTAACTAGAGAACAAGAAAATAAAAATCAGAAATAAAAAACAGGCAAAAAGAATTTTGAGGCTGAACAGCGGAGGTGATTATAATACATTAAGAATAAAACAGTTGATTTCACATTACGCGGGGAAGTGCAAGAATATTTAGATTTACTTGCTATCAATCTCATATTTACTCCCCAATACCGGCCTCTTTTTCCATTCTTCTTGATTTTACCTCAGCTCCTGCGCTCATTTTCACTATGCTCGACCTCATCCGTCTCCCCCCACTATTCTTTTTTATATTTGTAGGGACAAGCGTTTGTTGTCTATATTTGTAAAATTAAATCTCACGTAGTGCACAAAGGCATCTAAATATGTGTACAAAGATAGAGAAATAGATAGATAGATAGATAGACAGAGTGACAGACAGGCAGACAGACAGACAGACAGATAGACAGACAGACAGACAGACAGACAGACAGACAGACAGACAGACAGACAGATGGATGGATGAATGGATGGATGGAAAGACAAACGGACGGAGATAGATAGATAGATAGATAGATAGATAGATAGATA